GAGGCAGCTTGGGGCACTCCGGGTTCTCATGGCAAGGCAAGCGCTCGCAGCGGCTGCAAGACAAGTGGACAGAGAGACAAGAGGAGGATTAGGGCGGATCCAGCAAGCAGAGAAACCACAGAGCAGGCAAGCGGGGGCGAGCACCCCTCACTCACCTGGGGGAGGTGCCGGGGACCTCCAGGCCGATGACTCAGGCACCAGCCTCTTCCAACACCCTCAGGGGGCGCTGGTGGCTGGGGGCCAAGGGCTGTGCACACGTACGGTGAGCCCCACCCCGGGCACACCCAGCCGGTGCACCCTGCCCTCCAAGAGGCGTCCAAGCTCTTGGCTCCTGGCCTAGACAGTGGCCCTGGGGTGGGGCTCCCCGGTGAGGGCCCGAGGGGTCAACACCACTGGCAGCCACTTCCCGTGTGCCACTGCAAAGCCTCATCTGGCACCTCGCGTGATCACAGCAAGCACTCAGCGTGGTGGCGTGAGTGCCAGCTTTCAGATCAGAAAACCTGGCCCCCAGAGAGAAGTGCCTTCCCAAGGCCACAGCGAGGATGAGCCAGGTCCGTGTGTAGGCAGTGACGCCACCCGCTCCCCATTCCCTATCACTGGACCTTGGGCTCCAGGCTCAGTTTCCTGTCTCTGTCCACAGGGCCAGCTCAGGGCTCAGGATGGAGATAAAGACAGGTTCGGATTTCCTACGATAGGATCCAGTTTCCCGCGGCAGCACACGGGCAGCTTCTAACTGCCTATGACAGAGTGGAGACAGGCCCTGACTTCCTGTGACAGGAGAGGGACGGGATCTAACTTGTGTCTCAAGAGGAGATGGGACCTAACTTCCTGTGTCAGGATGGGGGCAGCAACTACCTTCCTATGACTAGATAAAAGTTGGTTCCAGGCTCTAATTTCCTGCGACAGGAAGTAGGTGTCTGCTGAGGGTCTGTAGGCCCATGCCACAGTGCAAGCGGTGTGTCAAGAGCTGAGGAACCTGAGCCGAGCCCAGACGAGGCCAGGCACTGCCGGGAGCTCCGCGCCCTGACTGTGGCTGGATTTTCGGGTCAGGGCGTCCTCTCTCCTGCTCTTCTAGCGCATCTCCCTTCTGGCTTTTTAAGTTTCCAGCTCTCAGTTAGGTTACTCAGACATCTTTTAGGTCTGGCACTCAGTGTGCGTGGGTCTGTTTCCACCCTGTTCCCAGGCTGCTCAGAGGACAGACAGGAAGCCTTTCATTTACTCGGCTTGTGCACTCTGGCTTCCAGACAAGACAGCACCTGTAGGCGAGCTCCAATCTATCGCCTCGGGAGAGGCCTGGTGGGCCCGGCCAGCAGGTGGCGCTAGTCTTCCTCCTGGGACTCCACTTTCCCAGGTGAGACCATTCCTGCCCATGCAGGACAGAGATTATGTGACACGGCAGTGCATGTTGAAGACAGGAGTGCGAGGCGTATGCAAGGTCCTGGCCCACCGGCAACGACAACCATCCCACGCCCGAAGCCAGACACTGCCTCCCCATTGGCTCACAGTGGCGGAGCACCCAGACTGTCCAGAGACACAAGTTGTTCAGCGGCTTAGGTCACTGACTCCCAGGGAGCAGGGCAGGTCCCTGTGCTTCAGCTCCTAGGCTGCACCCCTACTATGCGCTCCGTAAAAGGTCACTGTGCAGATGAACTTGCCCTTGATTTCGCCCTGTACACCTATCTGCTCCCTAGAGCTCCTCCCTCTCTGATTCTGAGGACTCAGATAAAAAAATGACCCCTCCTTCCCGCCCCCGTGAAAGCCAAAGTACTGTGCCGCGCACACTCGAGCCCGGGCAGAGTGCTTTCCATCACCACAGGAGACAGATCTAGGACACCCTACGCATAAACACAGTATACACACAGCTTCTAACTCTAGCTCTTCAAAGAATTGTCAGAGTATGTTACACAAGGGCCAGGGTCCTTCATACTGTTGGTTGTTTGGAGGACAAAGTTTGAGCTTTCAAATGGTGCCAGGTGACATAACCATCTCCCTCACAGGTACATGCCCCGGAAAAATTCCTACATTTTAAATTGCAACTGAAGACACACACATCAAAATAGGCATAGAGCAATCCAGATGGCGAGGATAAAAAAATACATGTATTTTTTGTCTTTGTGAGACAGGGTCTCACTATGCAGTTCAGGCTGGCCTTGAGCTCAGAACAATCCTCCTGCTTTACCTCCCAAGTGCTGGACAGCAATCACACACCAGAGCCGCAGCGCTGAGCCCGAAACATCACATACTGCCAAAGCTGTGTTGTGCAGCTCTCTCTCTGCATGTCCTTCTCTTGCACACTGCAGAGGTGGCTTCAGGCCTCCTGCCCAGCCCAGCCCACGGCACTCACCCACTTCCCGTCACTGTTGTGGTCACATATTCCCCAAGCCGCTCCCTTCTTCAAGAATTAATAAAACCCAGGTTGGGCCCCGGGTCGAGACCTCCGTTCCAGTCAGCCACATCCTAGCTGGACTCAGAACCCCTTAACTACCCACACCTACAAATGCCTCAGTGTCATTGTGCTTGCCATGAATTGCGCTGGAAGTGCTGGCTCGGAATGAACTCGCTAGAATTCCGGTAACTTTTCCACGGGGTCACAGATATAAACTTCCTGGGCCAAGATGAGAACCGGGAAGGGCTCGCAGTTCCAACGTCAGTGACCTTGTTCTGCTGTGCCCGAGCTTACGGCGACACCCCAAATCACAGCCTCTGGTTCTGGTAACCTGCTGTCAGACTGGGAACAGTGTTGAAGTTCTTGTCCTAGACCAGGGCAGGGCTGTTGCCACTGTAACCACCACGGTGCCCCCAGTTTCCACGCTCACGATTTCCACAGCCGAGTTCCCTCACTGTGCCGTGCCACACAAATGGGACAAAGCGGCCCCATTTTTCAGTTCAATGCATTTGACCACGGCACCGCACATTCTGTGAAGATCACCTTGCCAGCCACTGCTGACTAGGGCCACAGAGCCTTGAAGGCCGCTCCTTGGGGACGGGGGCTCAGACACACTCAGGCTGTCTGAGACTCACAGCCGCTCTGGAGCAGCTCCTGACCGTCACATGCTTCCCATTCTGAGAAGAAGCCCAGGGCCTGGACAAAACTCCCAGAGCCTGTCACTCATGTCCCCTTCCTACTGCATGTGGTGACTTTCATGACCCTGTATCATCAGGGCTGGTCCCACTGAGGACTTAAAGAGAATGTCCCATGTCCCCAGCCCCACCACAGACTCTGGACAGCTCTGGACACTTCTAGTCCATGGGTCCCAGGGCCACTATATTGTCAGGAGCCAGCCATGTGGTTTGCTGCCTGGCTTGCTGGGCCACACTCCAGTGTCCCCCTTGGCTGCTGGGGACACTACCTGGACAGAAGCCACACAAAGAGACAGAGGGAGCTAGGAAGACAGGGAGAGGCAGAGAACAACTTTCCCAGCTTCCCCTTGGAGGCTCTGGATCAGACTGCCCTCTGCCTGAGGCATAGCGCTTCTGGGTGCTTCCTGAAGGGCAGATAGGACGCCCGGGAGAAGGCATGCCTTTCAATGAGGAATAGGGGCTGGGAAGTAGAAACCTCCAATGCCGGGGACCACAGCACCCAGGGAAGGTCAGCCCCTCCTTGCCTGGCCCCTCAGCCCGAGTCCTGTACACACAGTGACTGTGGCCATGTTTCCTCTTGTATCAATGGGTGTCCCTGAGTGCGCCCAATTGGGCCAGGGCCACCAGGTTGCTGAAATCCTCTACAGGCCACAATTGGGGGTTCCAGTCCCCCAGTGCCCAGCGGGCTCATGCGTTCCCATCAGGAGCCAACAAGGCAGAAGTCTGTGCCCAGGGTAATACCGTGACCTGGCCCTTCTTGAGCCGCCTCCAATCGTCCTTTCTGAGGGCGGAGCCTCAGCCATAGCCACGGCCAACGCGGGCCAGGAGCCAGGCAAAGCTGACAACACTGTCCCAAGGGACCTCTGTCTTCTAACCTGGGGAGCCCCAGGGAGAGAAACGGGGTGGTTCACTGCCCTCGTCAGCACTGCCGCTTCTCGACACACCCATGGGCTGGCATCTCTCATCTTCGGCATCTGCCCATGTGGGTAAGATTGGTGCCACCTTACAGCTGCAGAAAGGGTCCCTGGTGGACCGGAGATGGACCCTCGGCCCAGAAAGGCCTGGACCGGAAGCTCACTCGACCTCCAGCCTGGCTTGGCCCTCCCCTCACACACAGCCTCTCCCCTCACACCTGGACACCAGAGGCTGCCAAAGACCCAGCAAGCAGTCCTGGCCAGGTGGCATGTCTCGGGGTGCACACCCCACTCTGTGGGGGCTGAGCCCAGGGTGACTTTCATGGAGAACAAGCAGAAGGGTCCCTGCCCACACAGTCACAGGGACCATAGGGGGACATGGAAGAGGACATCACTGCCCCATCTTTTAGCTGAGAATAGGGGGCTCCAGGAAGCCCAGGGTCAGGTGAAAGTGGCCAAGCTGGAAGGAGTTCCTGGACACACCAAGGAAGGACACGTGGTGGCCAGGGAGGGAGGGAGGAGCTGACAGTGACATGTAGCCATATCGTCCCAGTTTAGGACATAAGATCTTCTATGCTGTTCCCACAGTCACTCAGCACAATGGAATCTGGCTTTCAGGCAGTGCTGGGACCCTGAGGGTGGTTCTGCCCCGTAACGAAACCCAGGGTCACCCAGGCCCCCAGCCCTCAGCTACCTGCTCATCTGAGTCCAAGCACGTGTTGGTATCCACAAATGGGGAAACTAAGGCCTGGAAAGCTCGCTAAAGTACGCAGGAAGACACAACAGGGCTCTGGGAGGCCTGGGATTGTGCGCGCCAGCCCCACAGACACATGTGCAGCTGCGCCCTTGGCTCCCTCCTCTGGGGACCTGAGGAGCAGGCCCGGTGACCCTGGAGGACCCTAGGGATTGCAGTACAGAGGCAGCACTCACTCAATGCTCCTCACGTCCTGCGCACCCGGGAAGGCCAGTACAGACAGACAGTGGCGGCGGTGGCTGAGGACTTACGTGTCTCCGGAGCGGCGGTAGTTCTTGGGGCACTCGAAGGACAGGCAGCGGAAGCCGCCCTGGATGTTGAAGCAGGTCTCGTTGACAGAGCAGTTATGGATGCCGGTCACGCATTCATCGATATCTGCGGGAACAGAGAGGAGGAGTACAGGATAGCAAGAATCCCTTGAAGAGCAAAGTGAAGGGGAGACAGGAGGAACTGGGGAGCTTTGCAGCTGCCCAGGGAATCTAGGGATGGCCAGAGGGGGGCGAGGAAGGGGAAATAAAGGGCTCAAGATACGATGTGTAGAGGCGCCAGCGCCCCACAGTGCTCGTGTTCATTATGTATTAAACACGTATTGATCAGTCACTCACTGGGCTTCCCACCCACAGACGGGGCCCAGCCCTCCCCTGCCAGGCCAGGTGGGTCAGCGCTACGGCTTGTGTCCAGACATCCCCTCAAAGCCTCGTGGTAGATGTGGCTCTGTCAGAGGTGGCTGGATCTAGAGTGCGTGGTGCTGGGATGGATTCAAGGCGCAATGCCAGGACCAAGGGCACTGGGACTGAGGGTGTGGGCGCTGCCCGCCCTGAGCAGCCTGGGTAGGTCAGAAGGGACACAGAGAGCTGCGGCTGGCCCTGCTCTGCTGTCTTGTGTCTGCTGCGAACTGTTGCCCCTCTGTAATGCCGCGCTGCCTTGGAGGGAAACGATTACAGACCGAAACCTCTACAAACTGTGAGTCAAATAAACCTCTCCTCTTTCACCTTGTGGGTGTTGGGTATTTTTGTCTCAGCAGTATTTGGGTCATCCTTGCCCTTCCCAGAAGAAGTGCCCAGGGCCAGCTCCTGCAATACCCACTTCTCTACCCTCAGAGTGCATCGGTTAACGATGCCGGGAAACAAGATGCCCAGCGCTCGGGTGGGATGACAACTGACGAGAGCCACAACTTAACGAGAGCCACAGAGACGGTGGGATGTGGGCCCATGGTCACTGCCGGTGGCAGAGCTATGCTTTGAAGCCAGGATGGGCACCAAGCCTGAGCACAAACTCCCTGGCACATCGGGGTGAGGAGGGCGAAGAAGGGGCCGAGCCCTTCCCTATTTCCAACAGATCATCTCCCACTTTCCTGTTAGCTTTTATTTTGCTCTTACACCTTCCTTTCACTTAAAGGAGAAACACTGCACTGCTTAAGCTTGTGTGTCCCATTTGTTCCACCTATCATCGCAGCCCCAAGGAGCTTCCCTTTGTCTCTATAAATGACTCAGGTTTGCCCTCCCTCAAGGCACAGCAGGGCTCCACTGTGTGCAACCGGCATTCCTGTCCATTCATCTGTTAAGGGACATGCAGGAATACAAATAAAAAATAAGCCAGGGCAGGACTCCAGCCCCATTTCAGAGCCTTGAGGTAGTGTCTTGCCCTGTGTCCCCAGGGAGATGACTTTGGGGCTGAATGGAGATGCCTGCTCTGGAGCTTAGGGCTCCATAATGGGGGCGAGGACCCCACCTCAGACACTTAGGGGCAGCCCAAGGCTGGGCTCAGGGTGTCCCGGGGCTGGAGAGGCAATGTTGAGAGATGCCAAACACTTGGTCGATGGCAAAAACACCACTCCCGGGGCTCCAAGGCCTGGGCTCAGGAATGTGTTTTCGCTGCTTCTGGCTAGGGCTGCTGGCTGTGGTAAGGAAGCCCAGCCAGGAGGACAGGAAAACAAAGGGTGCCGCCAGTCGCCAGTCAGGCCAGCCCAGCTCTCTCCCTGGAGCCCAGAGCCCCTGCTGTCTTGTATCTGCCGGGCTCCAAGAGACCAGATGAGAGGACACAGCCAGCAGGCCTGGCCAGACAGCCCCCAGAGGAAGGTGCATTCACAGGACGTACGTGACCTCCCTCTCAGTTACCAAATGGGTGGTCCTGGGCACAGCATCCTAGCCAGTTGTTAGAAAAGGGGGCTCCAATGTGGATTCCACGGCTCCCTTCCTGAAGCACACGTGGGAGCCGGCCCCAGTCTCACAGAGTCCACAGCTAGGGAGCTCCTGGTCACCACACACTGCATGCACCACAGCCAGCCCTACTGTGACACCGGCAGGCCACTCAGGATTGAAGCCCCCTGGAATAGCTCACGGCCAGGCCATGACCCTGATACCAGAGCCCAAGCAGGCCAGGGCAGCCAGGGTCCCCCACACTCACCCTGGCAGTTGCGGCCGTTGGGCGCCAGCCGGTAGCCGGCCGAGGGGCAGCTGCACTGGAAGCTCCCGGGGATGTTGATGCAGCGGTAGGAGCAGATGTGGCCCCCAGTGGGCAGGGCACACTCGTCGATGTCTGCAATAGCACAGCCACCTCAGTGTTCCCATCCTCAGCATGAGCGGGCCACCCTCAACGTCCCCGTCCTTGGGTGGCCATGGGCTCCAGCCACACTCTCCAGGAGCCAAGGTGAGTGAGGAGGGGATGTGGACGGTGCAGGGTGCAGGAGTAGCCTTGGGGACCACCAGGGTACGAGAGGAAACTGAGGCCCAGAGGAGGAATGGGACGAGCCCAGGCCACAGCGCGCTCACGTGTGAGGCACGCAAGGAGCAGAGGGAGGACGGGGAGGGTGGCCAGTGTGACGCTGCCTTTCAGGGAAACCCAGACTGTGCCCCTTGGCCAAAATGCTTGGGACCCGAAGTGAGGGGTTTCCTTGCATCTTGGAGTATGTGCCTATACACACGTACCAAGCTGTCTCAGGGATGGGACTCAAATCTAAGCTTAAAATTCACTTGTGTTACATGGTCATCCATTCGCACAGCCTGAAGATATGTGTACACAGTTTTTTTTTGTTTTTTGTTTTAATGAGACAGGGTTTTGCCATGCAGTTCGGGCAGGCCTTGAACTCCCTGTGTAGTCCAGGCTGGACTCAAACTCACGGTGATCCTCCTGCGTCGGCCTCCTGAGTGCTGGATCACTGTGTGCACCACTGCTCAGGCGGTACTTGTACTGTCCCTGTAGTGTTTTTCTGGTTCTGGGATTGAACCCAAGGTCTTGACACTGAGCACTATTCCCAGCCTTTTAAATTTTTTCTTTTACTTTGAGGCAGAGTCTCAGTAAGTGGTTCAGCTGCCCATATAGGCAGGCCATGAACTCTCCATCCTCCTGCCTTAGCCTCCCAAAGTGCTGGGAGGACAGGTTTGCGCCACCACCTCTTAAGGTGAATCGTCGCTGTTTCCTACAGAAACTGCCTTTCTCCTCGTGCCGGGTCTGCTGACCCAGGGCCTCGCACGTGCTAGGCAAGCCCTCCACCGCCGACTCCTCACGCCTGCGCTGTTACACAACATCTTTCTGTGACTGTTGGTTGCAGCCCCGCGCAAATGAGGTCAGGAGTGGGCTTTTCCCCTTGTGGCACGTCATGGGGATGTTCAAAAGGTTGTGAGCATTCCGGACTTGGGAGGTTTAAGTTAGGGCTGTTTACACTACAGTCACAATCATGATGACAATTGTGCTTCTGGCGCCCGCAGGGGCTGGGCGGTGCCCGGTGGCCTGCGCTCACCTAGCCCGTGCAAAGCCCTGGCTTCCATCCCCAGCTCTGCAGAAACAAACTAAGCAGCTTCAGGCCCCTGACTCAGCATCCATGTCCATCCTGCATCAGCCTGGGGACAGCCCCGTGGGACAGGGGACACAGAGTGGGCTAGGGTGGGAGGGGCTCTGCAAGGGCAGAGGAAGGGCTGGGACCTCGGGTGTGGTGGCCGGAGGCTGTGCCCCGCCACCCAGCCATGGCCACCACCACCACCACCACTGAAGGACACTCATGCAAGGGAAGCGTCCTCAAGCAAATCCCAGCCACAGGCAAAGCAACAGCTCAACCCAGGGTCGAGGAGCCCCGCAGCTGTGCGCTGTGGATTCTGAAACGCAGTCCACAGCTGCCAGCCAGGCATGGCCCAGGGCACCCCAGCAACAGGGGGGCAGCCCCACCTTCGCATGTGACCCCGTCCAGGTCGCTGAGCTGATAGCCACGCCGGCAGTAGCACTGGTAGGAGCCATAGACGTTGGCGCATTCCTGGCTGCAGGGGCTGCTAAGGCACTCGTTGACGTCTGAAAGACGGGACCAGGGTGGCTTCTGTTCAGACATGGGGGGTTGCCACCTCCACGGCAGACTTTGTTCATGGTGGTGGAGACAACAAACAGAACACTCCCCTCCACCCACACATGCAGAGGTAGAGATCTTAGGGGTGCAGGGCTGGACATACCAAGCCCCCCCCCCCAGTTAGAGGACCCCACTCCGGCCCTCATGGGGCTGTGGAATCTCTGTCCCTGCCGCATGCTGCACCATCTCCAGCCTCTAGCTTAACTTCCAATGACCCAGCCCCACAGGCTTTGCTTCCTAAATGTCATCCTGCACAAATGACAGCTCGTGACCGGGCCCAGGGGACAATCCTGATGTACTGATTTCAGGAGGACCCTTAGCAGTGCTGGGCAATGGCTTACCAGTCACCTTTCCCTAGAGCAAAAGTCAGTTCACAACAGACCAAATGTGGCCCACTGCTTGTTTTTTATAAAGTTTTATTGGAACACATTCATGAACATTTTTGCCATAGCCTATCGCTATTTTTGTCCCGGAATAGCAAAGTACAGTGTCAACAATGTTGGAAAGGCTAACTGTCCCTGTGGAGCTCTCAAAGAGGAAGCTTGCCACTTCCTAGCCCAGTCTCTTTTCCCACTAGCACTGTTCCTTCTCATCAGGGCAGGGGGGACACCCACTGCTGTCCTGATCCCCCTGCTCCCCTGCCTAGTGTGTCCCTGCGGAATCCTAGACACCACATGCACGGAAACTGAGTCCCGCTCAAAACATACCCAGGCGGGTGCTTCAGCAGTGCTCACAGGAGGACACGGCACGCCCCGCCGGCCCTCATGGTCTCCACAGGAACAAATATGAGGGAGGGGAGTATGGGCCAGGCCTGCTGTAACGGTGAGTACCAGTGTTCTCCAAAACACCGGCAAGTGCAAATTACTGCTTCATGAATAGCCTTAAAAATGGCAGAGCTGGGACTCGAACCCAGATCTGAAACACTCTCAGGATGCAGCCTCTGCCTCTATAACCCATGTAAGGCCATGTTCCCAGGAGCAGTCAGGTGCGGGCCAGTCCCTAGAGAGCCTTGTTTTACAGTCCTGTCCCCCACTATTTCATGTGAGCTGAGAAGTAGCCCCAGGGGCCCACGGAGAGGGGTCTCCTCTGACCCCCGCCACTCGCATCTGCTCACCTTCACACGAGCGGCCATCCACAGACAGTCGGAAGCCCACGGAGCAGCTGCAGTGGTAGGAGCCCGGTGTGTTCTCACACTTGTGGCCACACAGGTGCCCGGGGTAGCGCTGGCACTCGTTGATGTCTGCGACAGGGGGACACCGCTCAGAGCACCTCCCGGACCCCCATGTCCTCAGCTTCACTCCTCAGACAAGTGGAAGAGGGCTCATCCCAAATGCATGCCAGGCCGTGTGACCGTGTCCTACCCAACCCTCTACCACATGCCCATGAGGAGGGGCCACTGAGACTGGACTCGGGGACGATGGTGGGCACACCCTGGTGGGGCTGGCCCAGGCTCCTCTCCCCATGCTGCTCCGTCCCCCAGCCCTGAAATCCAGTGCGGCTTTGGGAAACTGCTAACCCTGTTATTTTTGTAGTGCTGGGGACAAGCTCTCCGCCACCAAGCTACAGCCGCAGCACTCTTTATTTTATCCTCAGATCCTCCTGCCTCAACCTCCTGAGTAGCTGGGATTATAGATGTGCACCACCACACCGGCTGTGACCCCTTTGTCACTGGGAGACCTGGACACATGTCTCAGATGCTCAGGCAGAACCCAGGAAGGGCTCATGCCAGGGCCTGGCAGCGGCTGCCTGCGGCGGTGACAGCAGGACCTCCTGAATGCCTGTACTCGGGACTTCCTGAGATGAGCATCTGGCATGGTCCACCCAGCCCCCCAGGCTGCAAAGCCAGCGCATACCCACGCATGTCCTGCTGATGCCATCGAAGTAGTAGCCGGCCTTGCAGTCGCAGCGGAAGCTGCCGGGGGAGTTGAGGCAGCGGTGCCCCGGCCCGCAGGGCTCAGCAGGGGGTGCACACTCGTCCACGTCTTGAAAAGGGAAAGAGCACACACTGAGCAAGCTCCAGGTGGCCCTAGCCTGGCCCTGGGGAGTAAGCTCAAATGTGCGATGCCGGAGTGGTGGCCACCTCCCCCGTGCCAGGCCGTGCAGGGCATGCAGCGCCACCCCAGGTAGACGCCGCTGGCTGCCAGCGGTGACCTTAAGCCTGGGGATGTGTGTGGAGCGGAGTATGGTAGCTACATCCTGGGAGCGCCGGGGAGGAAGGCACCTTCCCTGACAGAGATCTGGGCTGCCGCCTGCCCTGGGCACAAGGGACACAGAGCAGTAGGCAGAGGACTGCCAGCAAAGCCAGTGTACTCCGGGGGATGTTCCAGGTAGGCGACAGACCGCAAAGTTGGGGCCACTCAACAAGGCTGGGTTGCCAACACTTGTCGCCATAGGACAGACGGGCTAGAGTGGTAATGCAGTAGTCCAGGCAGGACACTGAAGCTTGTGTCGCAAAGGACAGAACGAAACGGCTTTGATTTGGGCACCAACTGCCCTTCTGCATGCAGGAGGAGGGTACGCGCCGGAGCAGACGGCGAAGCCAACTTCAGACCAGTTTCCCTTTCAGATACCAACCGACACAACGAGTCCCCTCCTCATTGAGATGGTAGCCACGGCCACAGTTGGGCACGTTCTTCTGGCAAGTGTAGGAGCCTTCTGTATTGATGCATGTCTGCCCGACAGGGCACGGAGCGCTGATACTTAAGCACTCATTGATATCTGTGAGGGAAAGAGGGGGTGCCGCGGTGAAACGTGGGGGCCTCCAGGAAGCTGGCACTGGATCTCTAGAGAAACCAGTTCCCTCCTCTGCAAACCGCAGACCCTGGACTATGTGGCGCCTCCGGCTTAGCCCCAAGCCCTGGAACGGCCCTGCCTGGTCCTTCCTCCTGCCCGAGCCTCCGACGCGCCCATCTCTGCTGTGTCAACTGGAGCTGCCTGCTGGCCTTCCCGGGCCCGCAAGGCTCACCTGGACAGGCGAGCCCTTCCCTGTCCCCTGTGCCCTAGTGGCACAGCCACAGCTCCTGGGTTGGCCACTCAAGGCCCTGGCTCCATCTACCTGGCAGCCATGCCTCTGGGAACCACATCCACGAGACACCTCCTCATTTCCCATGTCCCCCATCTATCTAGGGAGCCTGTGTGGACTCAGGCCAGCGGGGGGACTCCTGTGGCTCCTTGAACTCCTTACAGGGCTCTCTGTGTCTCATGTGGGGACCAGGGGACACCTGGGACATATGGGAGTGCTGCTCATAAATAACCAAGTAGACTGGGTGACACATGGCTTGCTCCCCATGCTCAACTGCAGCGCAAAAAGGCACAGACCAGACCCTCCTCCTAGAGGTGGTCTTCTAAAAGCGCCAGAGTTTTGCAAAGTCCCCTCTGAGGACCTCCTGGTTCCTTCCGATGCCATGCATGGGCAGGTGGGGGGACAAGAAAAGACGTGATAGGAGACCCCAAGCTTAAGTTAGAAAGGGGGGTGGTCCCTGCCAGCCAAGCTGCACCCCCAGACAGAAGATCCAATCAGCCCCAGGATCATAGGGGAGTCAAGGTAACAGCACCTTCAGTGTGAGGTCCCTTAGAGCAGGGTCACTAGCCTCCACTTGTGTTTATAAATAAAGTTTTATTGGCACATAGCCAGACCCATCCCTTGGCCTACGGTCTATGGCTGTCCTTGCAAGGCGCCTGCTGGGAAGGCTGGTGTTTAGTTTCTAGCCCTTTGCAGAAAGGACCCAGTGGCCTGGCTCACTATCGAGAGCAGACACAGCACTTCCAAAGTAACCACAACTTCCTTCCACGCTTTGTGAGCTCCCTCAGATATGCATTTTCCAAACTGTTCCATGGGACACAGGAGGCCCTGGAGAAACTGAAGGTGCCCCAGCAGGGGTCCCCGGCCTGAGAGCTCTACGTCACATTAATAGAAGGAATGAAAAAAATAATAGAAAGAATGAGTAAGTAAAAAACCTGAACCAGAAAGCAAATAAGAACAGATCGATATAAAACAGAAGGCCCACAAGTTTGGGAACCCAGGGCACAGAGTACAAGGTCTCTCTCTTGTGGGGATCCTGGGCAGCCCAGGCGCCAAGCTCCCCATTACCCAGGTACCTGGGAGACCCCACAGAACCCCCTGCTCACCCAGGACCTGCAAGAAGCCAAGATATGCACACCTGTTCTCACGAGAAGCCGGGAAGCTGGCTCAGGCCCTGTCTCCCTGACACAGGGAAGAAGGGATGGCAGGGGAGAAGATTCGAGAAGAAAAAACAAGCAAAAGCCTAGCAAAGACAGGAATCTCTTCAGTCCCTTGATGCGCAGCCTCAAGGTGCTGGACACTGCGTTTTATAACCTGGACTGCCCGTGGCTCCCGTGCAGAGCTCCCCTGCTTTGGGCTGCACAGTGGCAGAGGGTGATGTCTCTGGGGGTGCTCTGGGGCTCGGGGAGATGGGTCCAGGCTGGGTGCACCAGAGGGTGGGATGAGGGCCACAGCAGCTTGCAGCGCCCCTTTCTGCTGGGCTGCCTCTGCAGGGAACCATTTCTGCTATGCAGTTATGATTTTAAAGACAAAAGTGCTGACATAAAATGATTCCTCAAGACATTGTCAAGGGGGTAAACGAGCAGGTAGCAGAACAGCCTGGTCCTGTTTTCACAAAACACCTGCGTGGGGAAAGAACCCAGGAGGGCGCACAGACCTGCCTGGCTGGGGCAGGACGGGGCAGGGCAGAGCGCTTCTTTTCCATGCTTTAGCTTTGTTTGCTTCTTTGTCAGTGAAGGCATATGGGACGCAAGCAATAAAAAGATAACTTTGTAAAAGAATGGATCCTGGGTTTGGCGTGAGGAGGTGGGGACCATGTTCATCCTTCCAGGGCAATGAGCTAGGCAGACCTGAGTGTCGAGTGTCTGGCTGGTGATGTTGTCACTATGGATCCCAAGGGACATCACAGGGGAACCAAGAGCCACCAGGCTGGACTTTGGGCAGCCTCTGAGATCCCCACTAGCCAGGCCCAGGCTCTCCCCCAGTCTGGGAGACACAGAAGGACAGTCCCTTCCTCCCCTGGCTCCTGTGCCTCGGCCCTGCCTAGCGCCACACTCCACAGACATCACAGACTCTGCTGAGGCTTGCAAAGGCTCCTCTGGCTGCAAATCAGGCCGACTTTGGCAGGCCTCAGGCTTTCCATCCTCAGCCCAGGCAGCCCCCTCCAAGGAGCCCCTGTGAGAAGGTTGTGAATCTGACCTGCCTCTCCCCTGGCCCTTTGGAGCCGGTAGCCTTTTGGGTCACTGTCCCTCATGCTGAGCCACAACTGTCCCATTGGCAGGAGGGCAGTGAGGGGCCAGCTCCGGGCCCCTGTCCCAAAGGGTTGGTTGTTCCCTTATCTTTCAAAATCTTTGGGTGGTAAAAGTGGGGGGGGGGGTAAGCTTACAATCCATTGCAAACAAAAGATCAGTAGAGGTTGATCTAAGAAAAGTTAGGGCAGAACTATGACAAAAACTGGCACAGTGGTGCTGGCCTTTTCACGCCACCTGCTGCTCAGTCGGCAGAAAAGCTCTCTGAGTTCTTTTTTTTTCCCCCCAGAACTGGGGATTGAACTCAGGCCCTTGCTCTTGCCAGGCAAGAGCTTATTCTACTGAGCCATCTCCCCGGTCCCGCTGTCTGACTTCAAAGGTAAACAGGGATGGAGCCAGGTGGTTTCCCTGGGTGACAACACCCCAGTAGGTCCAACCCTACATGGTTCCTCCACCTTGACCTGTCCCTCGAGACTTCTGTTTTCACAGGCAGCTCACACAGGATTTTCTCCCCTTTCACACTGGGCCCCTCTGATAGCTACAGAGGACGCTTCGTTGTGGTGAAGGAAATAAGCCAGTGCGCACAGCCCAGCGGCTTTCGGCGCACTCACGTGGTGGGCCACCACCTGCCTCTGTCAGTCTGATCACTGACACCCAGCAGTTCTGCAAAACAAGCTTCAACAGACGCCGTGGCTGCAGCGGGGAGTGGCGCTTACCAAGGGCCTCCTATGCCCCCATCATTTCCAAAGCACTCATTCAGCCTGGGAGCCAGGCACCCCGTAACACCCTTAGAGAGGGGCGCAGACTGAGGCTGAGAGGGAGGAAGGCAGGTTCTCAGGCCACGCTATCTAATACCGGATGTCTGACTGCAGCATCCACCTAAAGCAGAGGTCAGCAAACTCTTATAAATAAAGTTTTACTGGAACACAGACCAGCCCATCTGCACATAGTCTGTGGCTTGTAGCGGTGACAGCAGGGAGACCATACGGCCTGTGATGTCTAAAACATTGGCTGCTTGCCCCTTTACTGAAAACACCTGCGAAGCCGTCAGTGAGACTCCGTGCAGCCCCTCTGGGTGGCCCCCTGCCTGGTGGTGGCC